TTTCTCGAAACTGGACCCAAAGAAAGATTTATTTACTTTGTCGAGTAGTTATCCATGTATCAGTATAAAAAAATTTTCAACCACATTATTTCTCTGAAATTCTTTTTCTACCAATATATGGACAACTAAAACGATGTAAAATTTATCTAAACTTTTTTTGATATCCTTCGTAGTTTACGAGTTACGAGCGAATAAGTAAAAGGGATATTTGGGATAGAAAGGGTGGTTTCTCCCTTAAAGTCTAAAAGTAGCACTAACCGCGTGCGGCAAAATTCTTAGATTGGTCTCATAAAGAATTGAGGAAAGTTACAGAAAAATCGGTGTGCATTCGCCAACATCCCTTGTTGGATATGTACCGTGCGTCGAAAAAGTCTTCGCACACTTTTTAAAACAGAACAATTTTTTTCAAATTGAACAAAGTGTCTTGAGTTTTTTAATGATGTTAGAAAGATTAGTTCACTAAATAATGTGTACAACAAATTTGAAAAAGTTGCAATTGGTCAAAATCGTGAAGAAAATAATAAAGGTCGCTTTTTACAACTATTTTATTTCAGATTGTAATGAAAGTTTAAAAAATACATTTCTTAGGTTTATGTTACTTATACATACGCTGAAAATGTCATCCAAATCGGTCAACGTTTCTATGAGATACAATGGTTAAAAAAGTTGCAAAATCGCAATTTTTCCATCCACTTCAAGAACTTACTGGTTTAATAAAAAAGATATGTATGTGTATTTCATTGTAGAACATGAATACTCCTCCTTTAACGAATGAAATTCTTTAAAATTGAATAAAGCACAAAGTGTCACTACAAAAGCTGACACTTCACATGCAACGACCTATTTGTCGATCTATATTAGACTCGCTTTAGTAAAAAATATTCCAAGTTTTTCAAAAGAACTAGTTCCTTTCACAATAAGAGCCAAATACAAGCAAAATTAACGATGATTTATCGAGAATTCCCAATGTGAAATGTAAAAGGAGAAAGACTGAATATTCTTTAATGAGAAGCAAGTAATTAGATTGAATCATAAATAACTTTCGCCACGGATACTGAGCAATTACTAAAATGATAATTAAATTGCAACGATAAGAAGAATAGCTAAACGGAATATCAATTATTCAGTTTAATGGTAATGAGGAACATACCACAGATTGATATTAGCTGTTAAATATCTTGGATCGATATGAATTTAAGAAAAGATAACAGAAGTTATTTATGACATAATCCAATACTTACGAACGATAGGCGGACGGTATTTATTGCCGGGGCAATAGTGACCCTAATTCACTCGAACGACCATTTCTTTTTTACTAAGCTAATAATTCCTGTGTTTGCCATCGGATCGAACGTAGAGTTTCATGTTATTGCCAATGATCGAATAAATACCGGACGTATTTTTTCCATAGTGAGGCTAATAAAAGTATCTTAAGCTCGTGTGTAAATTTACAATCGATAATTTAATGAGAAAAATTGGAATAACTCGGTGCCAAGTCCGTATTTTTTTTTTTTTCATTTTCGACACTCGTCGACTTTTCGTGTCAAGGCCTCGATTAATTCTTAATTGTGACTGTTTTTGTAAACGGTGGCCATTTTATCGGCTCCATCGCGAAGTAGCATTGTTGTGCTTTTGACATTGCTCAGTATCAGCAAGATTTTCAACGAGTGAACATAAGGTTGTGAACATGAAATTTTTATTCAAAGAGGTGGACGGAGCTCGTGGGACACACTGCATGTACGTCCGCGGTGAAAAATTCGTGCCACTGTGGACTGCATTTTCAATGACGAATAGACTGCGGATATTATGCATTTATCGTGAACATGAGTGAACAATACGTAATACGGTAACAATTTTCGTCAAGATTAGCATCAGTTTCACTTTACTTTGGACGTAATAACACCGACGATAAAGGAACCAATCTTAGGCATAATTTGCGTTCGATAAATTAATCCGTAAAAGTTTCCATAAAAATCAGTTTCACTTTAATTCACCATAAAAATCCATAAAAACCAGTGTCACTTTAAATTCACCATAAAAATCCATAAAAATCAGTTTCACTTTAAATTCACCATAAAAATCCATAAAAATCAATTTCACTTTACTTTGGACTTAACAAAATTGATGATAAAGGAATCAAACCTCAGATGTAATTTTGAGTACGATAAAGTAATCCATAAAAATTTGTCCAGTGATCAACCATAACGTTTCAGGGATTAAAATATACTGAGGTTCTTTTAACAGATTCACTGCCAAATCAAATAGTTCGACAAATGTGTAAATTGTATTTGTAGAAATTTTAGTTAATATTTGAACATGTGTAATATTTATTCGTTTTATACAGGGGACTGTTTCCTTTGTGGTTGTGTGACCTAGTAGTCAATGCGTTAAGTGAGCCTCTAAGAACTTACAGGTCAACTCCGTTTAAGTTTTTGCAGTTTTTTCTCGTACAGTTTGACATACTGCACGATGTTGTGTATATGTACGTCTGATTTCGCCGTTATAGCGCCCCATAAATAAAATAATGCATAAGCAATTTTATTTGTTTTTTTAATAAAAAATTGCTTAGAGTTTCACAAATGCAGTATTCTATTACGCAAATAAAATATCGACCCAAAAATTGTTTGATAGCATTCATATTCTTTCTTATAGACTTTTACAACTAACAAATCATTGTATGTGTAAAAATCGCCTTATTTCACTGTTTGGAATTTAATGGGTTAAGAAGACCTAACAAAAACTTCGAAAGTAACTAAATTTTTGTTATTCAAATATCCTGCAATGGGCATTAACTTCCGGCCACGGACCGAAAATTGTGTCACCCAATTGTGCCCGGCGGTATAAATAGGCGCATTATGTATTTCTGACAAGCAATTTTTCAGTCCGAGACCCCTGATGGAGTCGTAATCTCGCGATGATAAATACGTTTTTATACAGCAAGGTATTTACTTCATCGCATAAAAGCACAGTGTCCCTCTTTCTGATCGTCGCCCACGCCGAAACTGAGGGACGCAACCAATTTTTTCCGTTTGACGAAACGCGTTCCTTCTCTCTATTGTACCAGGACTCGTTGAAAATAAATTGCCTTCTGATTTATTATTCCTCGTTGTAACTCTAAATTCGTAGAATTTTTTAAATTCTCGATATATACGATTATATTACGTTTTTGAACGACTGTGAGAATGCTTTGAAATTAATCTTTTCCAACAAGGATAATGTTTATTGATAATTTTCAGTGAAAAATATTAAGCTATGCGTGAGCAATGCATTTTGGTAAAAAGAAAATTTAAATTAATGTCTCATCGTCAGTACGGGATCGTAAACGTCATAGGGCAGGGATAATGGCTGCGGCATACTACCGTAGCAAGTAGTACAGGCAAGGGATATATCAGTCATCAGAGTCAGTTCAGGAGAAAGACGCGCTAAACGAAAGATTAAAACTTTTATCATGCTATAAAAATAATTGGATATATATTGTTCATATTCTAACTAGACATACCGCTCGTAAGTATTATACTCCGTATCTGAAATGTCGCTTTTACTGAGTTGCATATTTGGCTACGGTTATATGAACGAAAATTATTAATAGTGGTCATCATTTGTATGATTTGTTACAGATTGGTTTGAACTTTTTACGAGATTCTTTTTACCAGTAAAACTAGTTAAAAGTATTTAAAATAAATTAAAACAGATGATGAATTAAGATGAAATTCGTATAACATGACTCTCTGTATTTACACTTCAAAACTTTATCTACGAGTTTGGTATAGATTATTTTTCAAGAGTATTTTTCCAGAAATTATTTTCAAATTGAGAAACTCATTTTCCAGACCTTAATAAAAATGAATAAAAATTACACGAATATATGTATATTTCAAATATCCTACTGTAACGAATGAAATTCTTTAAAGTTGAATAAAGCATAAAGTGTCACTACGACAGCTGACATTTCACATCCAACGACCTATTTGTTTTTAGTAATTATTTTTTACCTATTGTTACTTTAGTAAGAAATATTCCAAGTTTTTCAAAAGAACTAGTTTCCTTCACAATAAGAGCCATAAAACAAACAAAGTTCACGATAATTTATTGAGGATTCCCAAAGTGAAATGTTCGTACATTGTGAAATATAGTTACTGTAGTTAATTGCATTCCAAGTTTCTGCAAAGAACTTTAAATCAGAGTCAAAGATAAAATCCATAAAACTTTATTTATGGTTCTGATACAAATTATTTTCTAATAAACAGGGGTAGAGGAGAAATAATGGTCGCGCCATATTACTGTAGCAAGTAGTATAGGCAAGTGATAGATCAGACACTGGAGACAGCTCGAAAGAAACGCGCACGCGAAACGAAAGATTAAAAACTCGATCGTCAGAATTGACGTCATCGATGTGGTAAGGTCGAGGGCTGGGAGTCGTGACTCGATTATCGAGGCCTCGGTGCCGGAAATTGGGAGTAAAAATACGTTTTTTTTTTGTCAACACGCTGGAGAATCTCTCTCGGTTTACGAAATTGCGAAAAATTTCCTCACCGCACATTTTCTCAGACGTGAATTATTACTAAACTGGGACGAATGATTTTTGCTCTTCAACGAATAGATGCTTCTTCACCTATTTTATCATTAAAAATGACATACCAATTGGAGTGACTTAAAAAGTTTATTCGTTAGAACATATGCTCGTATACATTTACAATATTTATTTTTGTTATTTTTTTTATAAATGATTTAATTTTCGTTGGATAAACTTTCTTACTAATAAATTTGAGCAACTAAAAAATATTGCTTTTTTTATAAGCGATTTAATTTTTAATCGGGGAAAGCTGTCGTTACTTATAAATATTGCTTT